CCGACCTCTAAAATACCAATAGTAGCCGCCTTTATCCGATGCAATGACATTACATTTTCAAAGAGCACCCAGAGGATTACAAGGTGGAATGAGCTGCTCATAAAACAGAAGAGATTTCATTCATTTAGCTAAACATTCATCAAAATCGTAATAAATTGTAATGTAGTTTTGAATTTTATGTCCTGCATACCTTGGAGTGCCCACTGATTTTAATAGCGTAATAATTGTAGGGACATGTACAACACCCCACAATGGAACCTCAACCTCAGGAATCAGAACAGAGAGTGGAATCACAACGCAGTAGAATACGTACGTGCATACATGAGATACAATCTTTCCAACGAAGAAGAAGCTGTATATCAAGTGGAATTTTTTCCCTATCGAAACCTTCTGAAAAACCAATTCATAAAGTATATGGAAAAAATTTAAAAAAATATATCATTCTGTGCTGATTCAATTACAAGAAAATGATGTATCAAGTAATCTATGTAGTAACCTTGTTTGTTATTATCTCCATTGCCATCTTCTTGAAAAGATTTGCAGGTCCACAAGACCATCGATGTTGCTGATACCGATAGGCATTGAATGTACTTGGTAATTCACATTTCACCTGCCATAAATGTTGAAAACTCATTTAAGGATTCATGAAGTTACATAATTTATAACAAAACTATAATAAAAAGGAGGATCGTATATACAAACCTTGACATCACCAACATACACAAACTTCCAACCAGCAAGGCCGGAACGGACCGCCAAATCCATGTCTTCAACTGTGGTTCTATCCTTCCATCCTCCGGCATCAGCAATGGTTGATATGCGCCAAACACCAGCAGTCCCTAGAGCAAAAGTTACTTAGACCAACTTAGTTAAGCTAACCATTAATTTGTTTCAGAAATTTAATCTTAATGTTGATTTACCATTAAAACCGAAGAAGGAAAATGCAGATGAGCCGGCCTCCTGCTCAACCTTGAAGTGATAATCTAATGACATCTCTTGCATTCTCGTCATCATACATTCATCAGCATTCACTGAAGAAGTTTAGTTCATTCATTTCAAAAGATTTAGTAAATGTTTAATGATTAATTATGTTGCAGCATGATTTTCTTCTTCAGTTAAAGGAGGATATATATGATTAAATGATTAAGAGTTCAACATACCAAACGTCCATCGAGTTTGAACAAGAGCAATCTCTGGATTATGAATGAGAAAGGGAACCGTTCGTTTCAGGAAATCAGACTCTGGCTGGAAATCAGCATCAAACATGGCGACATAATCGCAGTCTTTTACATAATCATGTATCATTCCTTCTTTCAGGGCGCCAGCTTTGTACCCTTTCCTGTTGTTTCTAACCTCATACTTTATGTTCAACCCCCTGCCTTTCCATATTTTGCATTCTATTTCCACCAATTCCTGCAAAGAAATTACATCAGTAACAAATCATTGTAATGTTATGATCAAGGATAAATGAATATGTGAGAGTGCATTCAGCCGGTTGAGTTTTTCTTCGCTTAGTGCTTCGCTTGAAAGATAAGATTAGATTACTTTCGTGTGATACTTTTAAGGTGGTGTT